TTTAATAATTTTTCTTTTTTTCCTGAGGGACCTTTTTTACATTTTTTGGTTTTTAAAAAAAAAAAAAAAAAAGAAACAGTAGTTGACCAAAAAAAAGGAAGAAAACAAAAAAGACAAGCAAGCATGATCATTTGCGTAAAAAAACAAACAAAAAACAATGATCATTGTCTGTTTATCTCTAACTGGGCTTAATATTCAATAAATATGTAAACTTAACACGGCAGTAAAGTTGTTTTTGAAACATTGGTTTGTTTTTTCATATTTGGCTCCTCCTACAGTTCTACCACACAAGTACTGCAGACTGAAGGCACAGTAACGGCAATACTCCAGTTGTACAAAAGCGCACACCAAGCCTCTTCGAGGATGACCTTAGTTAATATTTGTATTGGAAGTCACAGCGATTAATTAGAAATATATGGACAACAGTGGTATTTTTTTTTAAATCACTTAGACTCCAGATGGCGGTAGATTTAAGCAGATGGCAGTAGAGTGCTGTGAAAGTCTCTGACCCTTTTGATGAAATTAGACCCGCTGCTTCAGTGCATCTCTTAAGACTGTCGTAGATTCTACACTCATAAATAAAAAGCAGCACATATGGATCGACAGCAACGACTATGTACAGTTTCAGATTGTTACTTTCCTCTTAAGTTCTGTGGTACGCCAGCAGCTTGAAACTGGGTACCAGGGTTGAAAACCGAACCAAAGTGTACAGAACAGAGCCTTTCAGGCACTTTGGCAAACAACCAACATGGCTGCTTCCGACGTGCAAAAAAAACAAAATAAAAAAACAACAACCTTGAATCTCCTAACACGTCAGAAAGAGATGGACGGAAATCGTTTTGTAGCCTGCAGTGGTGCACGTTTCTGTCAGATGTTTGGGTCTGGGGATATTTCCTGAAAAGTGAACTCTTCCAGACTCTTTTCCCTTTGTGCATTGGTTTGGCAAAGCTAGGCTAACTATTTACAGGAACAAATATTGACTACTGTGATATTTAAAACCCGTCTATTTCCTCCCGTACATTCTTTCTATATCGTTGAGATAGTGGTTCTTCAGCTCTTTCCTCTTCAGCTTGAAGGCGTCTGTGACCAGGCCAGTCTCTGGGGTCCATGGCTCAGGACTCAAACGCACCTTTACAGGAACTTCAAACCGCTGGAGTTTAACTAAAAAACACAACAATAAAAAAATCATGTTTTAGCCACACTCCTAGCCATAAAACCACATTTTACACATTTTAAAAAGCTCAGTCTTAAAAGCTACAGTATACTCAGATTGCATATTTTGAACTCGGCTGCACAGAGAGCAGCTGAAACACTACTCATTACATTTTATGACAATCAAGTCACTAAGGTTGGTAAGGAAGAGAACATATTTTTTTCTCCTCCCTGTCTGCACATAATGGCATAGAAATGATCAAGGAGTCATCAAAACAGCAAAAAAAACATGCTAATGTTAGCCTAGCATTTCATGAAACTGCTAAACATTCAACTCTGTAGTTATAAACATCAAATCACAAACATTTTAGATTCAGCAACTTTCTATTCTTATGAGTTGGATTTGTATCTAGAACCAGAAAATAAAAAATTAATTCAGACATCCTGTCAGCTAACTCTTACTTTTAGCTGCGACCTCCATGATCTCCTTCAGAACTTCTTTTTCCATTTCAAGATGGTTGCAGATTTCCTCCCATTTCCCCCCGATGCCTTTCTGCTTGGCCAGCTCCGTCAACTTTTTCTGGTTAGGAACCACAAAGCTGATCACGTAGTTCTGTTCACTGCAGGAACGCACAGCAGGAACAGGGTTAACGTGAAGGTCTCCGTTTCATTTTCATACAACAGCCATCCAACGGCACATACAAACAAACTCCCATTTATTTTTCAAACACAACTCCACTATACAAAAGTGCTTTACCCAATATTTTCACCGTACACAGTGTTTAAAGATATAGGCCATGTTTTCATTTGCTTTTGCTACCGGTTATCTCTGCATCTGTATTTGTATATGCAAATGTACTATGAGTGAAGCGGGATTTCTGTGTGCCGTTCTGGCAGCAAAGGGACGACTGTTCAAAGAGGACTTCACATCTCAGTGAGGTTAATGGCTCATTCAGCCATGTTGTCATGAATGAGGCTCTGTTTGAGCCAGGATAGATCAGCCAGACACAGAATCTGCTCCGGCAGGTTGTGTGTCAGGACAAATAAACCGAAGCCCTACAGTATAAAGTTAACGTCAACCTAAAACAACAGGCCTTTACCTTGCCTATTTGACCAATAGAGCTGGATAATAAGTCAATAACTATATATCACGACAGATCACCATTGATAGATATGTTTGATAGAATATTTAATAATTTCACTGAACTCCGATCCAGAACCGCAAAGCATTCTGGGGGGATGTAGGCAGAGGAAAGACTTTAGCTGCTCGACCTCTCACGGTCAGCTACGCAAAGTCGGTGGCATCAACTAACTCACTCGCTCTTTGGTTACCTAGCAACAATTTGAATAACTTGCAGCAATGGTTTAAGGTTTCTGCTTGAAGGGGAAAGGTCATGGCGACAGTTTGGCAGCATTTCAGATATTTAAAACTAATCAATAATTATCGATATGGACTTGTGAAATGCTTATATCGTGATGCATTTCACAGCCATGTCGTCCAGCCACATTAACCAACAAACTATTTTTAAGTTCCACTTAAAGTCCCAGTATTTCAGTAATGCTGGTTGAATCTTCACCCATGACCCAGTTGAGCCGTTTCCATGTTCTGCTCTGTTAAGCGGCTCGTTTCATGTGAACATACAAAGAGCCTGAAGCTTTTTCATGACAGGTTACACAGGACATCCCAGTTCAGCTAAACCTGTTTGTTATAAACACAAAAAGCCCTAAAGGTAAAAGACACTATGGGAACATACCAAAAAAAAAAAAACTGTCTTGTTAGCAGCCATCTGGTACATAATGTTTTATATCAGCACACATCAGATCTGTAGATCACCTGTTGGCGTAAACGCAGATATTGTCGATGAGAGCGCAGGTTTTCAGGGCAGATTCCACTTTACCGAGAGACACGTACTCCCCAGCCTGCAGTTTCACCAAATCTTTTTTGCGATCTTCAGAAACAAAAATCAATACAAGTTATAAGGTGCAAAAGTCCAGCTTCTCTTTTTACCAGTCTATAAGCTGTGTGTGTGTGTGTGTGTGTGTTTTGCAAACAGAACCATTGAGTGAAGCTGACTGGGCAACATACACACCTACAATCATCAGACAGCCATCCGGGTAAACCTCTCCAATGTCTCCGGTGCAGAACCACCTCTGACCGTTCTCGTCTGTAAAGAAGTCCTGATTGTTGCCGTCTTGCCCAAAGTAACCCATGGTAACATTGGGACCACCAATCAGGATTTCCCCTCTTGGATGAGGCTCGTCTTTGCTGGTGTAGCCCCCTGAGAGGTAAAACGGAGCAGGCAGATTGTAACGCGCAATTATCCTGCATTAAAAAATAGTTTCTGTTGTGCCGATTACAGCATGCAGCAACATGCTGTGGGCTGAGTTCTACCTTCAGCCCAGTCTCTGAGCTTGATCTCGCAGCAAATCAGAGGAGCTCCAACACGGCCGGTGCTGATGTCTGCGACTGCAAAACAAGATAGTTACTGGGTTACTCATTTATCTTCTTTTCAAGTCAGTCATACATAGGAAACTATTTTATCTGTCAGTTACTGCAAAAATATGAATCTCAATGCAGATGGCAAATGAGTTTCAAATAATGGGATTTCTGAAGAGTTACTAGTAAATCATGCCTGTCTGCCAACTTTTCCACAATTATAACCCTGCTTATCTTCCCTAGATTTCATGATCCTATTTAGTCACCGAACACTATTCAGATTACATTCCGCACAAGTGGGCTTCATTTTTTAGAGGTTCACTGAGAAATTAGCCAATTTTCTTAATTTTGGGAAATTGGACGATGCATGTGAAACAGATCTTATCCAATGATCTTTTCCAACTGTGCAAAAGTCTGATAAATCAGTCACTGATTGACCGACCAGTTCAGAAGGTCTGCATGTGTCTGATTAAAACAATAGACATCCCACTGTTAGCAACTTTGTTGCCACATTTTGCTTTTTTTTTCCCCCGAAGAAAAAGAGAGAAAAAAAATGCAATTGGCTAAAATTGGAATCAACCAGAAAACGGCCATCATCGCACCCCTACCAACGCCACGACTTCTGAAAGTGAGTAGTTGCAGTTGGTTTTATTTAGAGCAGTCAGAGTAGAAGGGGGCTAACATCAGCAGCATTCAGCTTCCATGCGCCACAAATCTGGAAGAAACTTCCAGAAAACTGTGAAAACAGCCAATCAGTTTTATCACTGTTTTTGATGATGATACGCGATAAAACTTCATGTTTGTTCTCAAATTGGTGACTGATTTTTGTGTTTGTCACATTTTGGTTTTGTGTTTTTATGATGTAAAGCACTTTGAAGAGCCTTGTTGCTGAAATATGCAATACAAATGAACTTGACTGATAAAGTCCAACTAAATGCCACTGTGGTTTGTTGCTGAATACATGAAAAACACTTTTGCACGTTACTTTACATCTCTGCTAATTTGTTTTTGCTTGTAGTGAATTTAGTTACTGAACATATTCCTAACTTTTCCACAGTGCATTTGGATGAAGGCTCCAAAGCTTGACCACTACTTAATGCTGTGTTATGTTCTATTCCATCCCAGATGGTGCCCATGTATTTTTTTTTGTGGTTTTTTTAAATGACTTCTGGCCAAACACCAGCCTCCGTCATAAAAAAAACAAAACCAACAAAAGAACAACAACATACCTTCAGTGATGGTGCCGGCTCCACAGGTTTCGGTGAGGCCATAGCCCTGCCCCACTGGACAACAGAAGCACACGTTCATGAACCTCTGAGTGGCCGAGGACAGGGGAGCTCCGCCGGACAACATCATCCTGACTCGCCCACCCAGCAGTTTCTTCACTTTCTGGAACAGCAACCTGCAGAGACGCGTTACAGATTATTTGGATTTGAGGCTAAACAACCACAACGTCATGTGCCAGGAAGAAAAAGCGCTCCGATGAGGGTGGAGGGGGAAAGAAGTGGCGTTTAGGTTTCTTACTTGTTGCAGAGAGGTGCGTCATGGCCCCTCTTGACCTGCTCCAGTTTGTATTTGTAGCCCAGAGTAAACAGTGTCTTCTGAAGGTAGCTCATTTCCTGCACTTTACTCATTACATTCTTGTTGATGCGATCCATGATTTCCTGTTTCAACGGAAAAAATGAACGGATTTATTTTGTTGGAAAATGAAGTAGTAAAAAAAAAAAAAATGCTGGAAAAAAAAGTTGTATATTCTTACCGGCACCGCTGCCATCAGAGTGGGTTTGAGGACAGAGCAGTCTCCTTTACTTCCTTTCTTTATTCTGGTGGACTAAAGGCGACAGAGGCCAATGAACTGACAAAGATCAGCAATGATTTTCTGACTCAAAACAGCAATGACGAGCGAGACCACTCCTACGAATGACCTTTCACATGATTACGAAATAAAGCACACGGCTGCGTCACACTGTGAGACATTTTTACCTGATCTGACAAAGTCTGGGGGGATGAGTAACCAATCCGGCAGCCGTATGTTACACAAGAGATTTCCGCTGTCATTTCCAGAACATGAGCCAGGGGCAGATATGCGATGTAAGTATCATCAGGTCTGTCAACACACACACACACACACACGTCAAATCCAGTCGTTACTGATCATCTTCTCTTCCACTTATTTATCTTAACAATGAGGAACTTTGACTACCAGTTCCCTAGCCGGCTGTTTGAAATGCACGCTGTCACAATAATGCAACGTTTGAAATCAGCTGAGTGGCACACAGGGGTCACTCTAGGGCAGCCCTCCAGATTTACCACTCTGAAACATCAACGTATTCAGAGGCCTGAAAATGAGTGATGATGAGAACTGGTGAAACTTACCCAAGTCCAGGGATGCGTTCACACTGGCCTGTCATCCCCGCGATCAGGTTGCTGTGGACTATCATGACCCCTTTGGGTCTGCCTGTGGAACCGCTGGTGTACATCACCACGGCCAGATCGGAGGACTGCGGCGTCACAATTTCTCTCTCCACTGCAGGAGAAATAAAGCAATCACCGTCTTTTACAGCAGAAATTTAAAAAAAAAAAAAAAAAAAAAAAGAAAAAAAAAAAAAAGAAATGCAACGATTTGAGCAAGTTGAAGAAATGCACACCGTTCTCCGGCAGGACGCCCAGGTCCCGCACCGCCTGCATGCTGTGAATGGAAAGTCCTTCTGGGTAGCCTTCTGTGTTTACCTTCTTCTCGTCCACGTAGATGATGTGCTTCAGTTTGGAGATCTGTGGTAGTACTTTCTGTAGAAATAAAAATATAACAGTCAATGCGAGTCATTTTATATAAACGTTAAGTGTATTTTCACTGGCGCAACCCTAATAATCATCGGCTGATTCATGTCACCCGGTGATCTCTCATCAACCCGATTGACTCTCTGCACTGAAACTCCCGAGTCAGCGTTAATGCCTCAATCAGATGTTAGTCCCACTTTGAAGCACAACCCTCTTTGCAACCCGAGTCATTTGGTTTACTATATACAATTGGACCCGTTTGGTCAGTCGCAACCAGCTCTTCTATGATCCATCGCCATCCTCACTTGGCACATTTCCAGACCACAAAAACAAACAACCATGAGTTGGCATTTCTACCTGGGGAAAGCACAGCGTGTCACAGGCGTTGGTGTCCAGCGCCGTTTGGAAAGTTCTGTGTTGCATCATTCAGCCGTTGTGTACAAATCAACATCCTGCATCTCTGATCCAGGCTTTCCACTCATTTAAAGTTTAAGACTTTTAGTACTATAGTAGTGTACACTTAGAAAATGAATTAGTTATGGTAAATTACTTACTTTAACAACTTCTATTTCATTCAATTGATGATTTAAGAAAACTGAAATCCAAGCAGTCTATTCTGTGGTATGGAGAAACCTTCAGAAAAGTAATCAATAATAGGTTTTATCCAGTTACTGATTTCCCTGTTTTAAAGCCAAGTCTGGTAAGATCTGATATGACAATAATCTTTAGATTTTAATAACATAAACCCACAATAAGCCAGTTTCAGAAACACAATTCTTCTACAGGTCGGAGATGAAGGTTGATTTTTTTGAGGATGCCAACAGTGACTATTAGTTTCCTACATTATGTTTTAATAGATAGTGTGGCAACACACCACTTTCTGTTAAATGCTACAAATAATGCAACAAAATGAACTTCACCTGTGAAATTCCCCACCCCCAAAAAGCAACAAAATTTCTGAAATGTTTTGTGTATTTTTGTGTATTTGGGCCAAAACTGAGCTAAATAAATGCAAGACTTTCTGAATTTGCTAAACCCGTTTGAGTAAAAGGTGAATAAAACAGCTGACATATTCCAAATTATTTAGAAATGCCACCATTTTTGTGATGTCAGAAAGGAATGCAATATTGGTTCTCCCTAAATAAAATCAACCCAAACTCTTCCTAGACTGAAGATCCACTTGTTTTGGAATATGGCTATAGAGTTGCTAAATCTCTTATAGAGTGATGTGAACACTGTGATATCATGCTTGGAGAAAAACTTTACAATCAAAAACTGTTTTAAAGTCACACCTAATCTCATTTCTGCACACACTAAAGTGTCTTCAATTAATTTATGCACAATAAACCACATCATACCCTTGTTTTCTTCTAGGTCTCATGAAGATCTTCTGATAGCTTTTAAAACCACATAATTAGACACACATATTTTCAAGCACGGCTTTAAACTCACTTTGAGTTTGCTTTCGAGCAGCTCCATGCTGGTCACCAAGTGAGTGACTCCAGTTTCGTTCAGTCCGTACGCAATCGCATCTTCTCCCAGCGTAGCGTAGAACGTCACCACTGTAAACACGGCGTGTTAAATGCAGCTCGTTTATTTTTTTTCTTCCTATTATTTGTATGCATTTTTCATGACATCAGCTTGCACTGGGCTTTCCTTACATGGGAAGTTGTGCCTGAAGCATGCCTGAGCAGTTATCATCCACTCCGCTCTGGTTTCGCAGAAAATGGCGATGGTGTTTTTGGGCTGCTGTCCCAGAGCTGCCAGTCCGTTGCCAAAATCACTCACTGTAGAGTCCAGCTCATTGTACGACAGCCACTTGTACTCTCCCAGTATCAGCTAAACGGAGAAACAATTAAATGAAGCTTTAGATATGTCCCCGAACAGGTAACAGTGGAAAAGCTAGACAGTCTTACCTTTTTAAACACTTTGCCGTTGGGCTGGATCTCGTTCTCTTCGCTCAGCACCTCTCTGGTGCCGAGACAATCGGCTGGTCCGAAGCGTTCCACTGCGTGCTTGAACAACTTGTCCAGCGTGTCCTTCCCTTCGAAGTCCTCTATGGCCAGGGACTCAAAGTGGTCCACAGAGCGGTACGGCCCCTCTGGGGACCCTGTGGTGGAGCGGGCCTTCATTCTCGTAGACTGCGTCCTTTTTTGGCCGGCTCCGGTGATGAAGTACCAGGGCAAAAAGGATATGAGGGAGTACAGCCAGATCAGAAGGTGGACTGGAAAGAGGAGGATTGACTTGAGGGTTGAGTCTGACTGGGCGCCCATGATGCCCTCTGGGTGCGTTTAGAAGGGAACTGAAAAGCAGACCTTGGTTTGTCAACCGCGACTGGACCTTTATCCTGGCACAGGAAAGGACCGCAGACAGATTTTTCCACAAGGTCTCACGGGCGCAGAATGAAGGTTTCTGGTCCAAAGTCCCCACAGATTCAGCTAAAAGTGGAAACAAAAGGAAACAAGAACAAGAAAATACTTCAATATGAAAGTAAAATGTAATTCAAATGCTAAAAATCCTGATCTAGTTTGCATCTGGCATCTAGTCTTATCTTATTTGTCTTTACTGAGGTAACAAAATTGAAAAAAAAAAAAAAAAAAAAACAGGCATTGGTAACTTATTTGTATCAAAATTGGTCAAATCCCCCCGCCCCCCACCCATAGCTGGGCATTACTGATCAGCCATTTAAAAGAATGCTCCTAATTTATCTTGTTTTTAAAAAGACACTTTTTTTCCCCAAAAACTTCCAGAAACTAAACAGGAACGCCACCTATGTCTTTAATTAAAGCAACGCTGTCGTAAAATGAGAGTTCACAAACTCAAAGCAGCATGACTGCCACTGGAACGACAAGATAATCATCAGATGATATCAGTTTATGACTTATGTCACTTTATAAAAAAATAGCAAAATGTCAAACGGCCATCATAACCTGCAAAACACGAACTTGACAACTACTTCTAAATGTAACTGTGGATCAAAGTTTTAAAAAACCTGCTACTTCTACATTAAATTACTGTATAGTATTGAAGCCATGTTCCTTTGTCAGCGCTTGGGATAGTCAGTTCATTTTGACATTTTGAGTAAATGCGGTAATGCTAGTTTATTTTTACACAAGGTTATTATATTGAGAGATTCTCGCACTGACCTATAGCTAGACTTAGTAAAGTGCAATAATTATTTAACGTTAAACTGATGATGTGTAAAGCCTCCACCGCATCAACCAGTAAAAAAGGGAAGTTTTCAATGATGCCAGACTTGAGATCTGAAAAAAAAAAAAACAGAACTCCAAAAAAGAACTTTTTTAAATCCAAGAAGCGAGAAACTCACAAGTTACTAACAAACCTAACCCAACCAACAGAACTATAAGCAGAAAAGACATTTTTCACAACAATAATCAGTGTCATCACTTACCAGATTTTTTCCTCACTCTGTAAAAATCAGACAGTCAACCTCTAGCTTTAAGTGCAGCCTTCTTGAGTCACAATTGTTCCCTCCCTTTCACTCAAACACCTGTAGTCTTTCATGAACTAAAGAGGTGGGGGACAAGTCGCCCCCACTGGCCTGGCTGGCTGCCGTCCAATGACAACAGCCCTGCGAGCTATGCTGGAGGGGATAGAGCGACAGACAACCAATGACGATGCTCTCGAGGCTCACCCCACTCGGTGGTCAGTGGAAGAGCCACTATAGGTCAAGCTCAGCTTGACAATGACCTCACCAAAGCGGATGTAGAGGAGATAAAACCCAGTGAAAGTGTGATTTAAAAAAAAAAAAAAAAAAAAAAAAAAAAAAGGCTGAACACACAACCAGGATGGACAAACATGAAAATGTGTGCTGGAGTCTGCTTAAACAAAGGGTTAATTGTAACGTGTAGTATTCGTGTAGTTGCTAAGGGTGGAGTGGCGTGTGCTTCCAACTGCTTGGAAACGTCATCTTGAAATTTGCAAATTTCCAAACAGTTACCGCTTCGATGCTATATTTGACAAACTATTATATGTCAGGTTCCATGAAATCATAACCTGCTTTGGAATTTTATCTTAAACCATTCTGCACAGACGCTCACTGTTGTTGATGCTCACTATTGAGTCTGAGACGGAGCTCACACAGCACGCTGCGGACATCAATGTGGAAAATGTGGCTTAGCTACAACCTGCGTCGTCATCATAACTTGAGTTTTTTTTCCTGTATTTTAAAAAGAAATGTCGCTGACACACACTTTGAGACAGCAACCACATGTTGAAGAGGTTTATTAGAGATTTGAATCAGCCAGCTTCCCCTTAAACAGATTTTTTTAATAAAGTGTATTCAATAAATGCATCAAAAACTGAGACTATTTCAAAGATTTTTACAGAACTAGAAGCCTCTGTTTTTCAGTGGCATGGGAAGTGAAGCCGGGGCAGCTGCTTTGCAGAATGTAGCTTCTCTATATATAATGTACTAATGCCACCACTGGTTTCACACTGGCACACATATCAAACAGCAAGCACTTTCGCTTATAAAAGAAAAATCTGAAAAATCCACAGACATAATCGTAGTTTGTAAATTAGCTTAATACCCAACTGATTTAGCTTTAATGTTAACATGATAAAAATGATCTGATACATTTTGTTCTTACAGTCAATAACAAAAAAAATGTTAGGTCTTGCCACCATTTTAACCCTTTTAACCCCTGCCGTACCTTTAATCACACATGTCCTCTCCAATGTGGATCATCATTTCATAATAAATTATATGGAGCTGACATGTTCTTGCAGCATCAGGCTGCACAAAATGTGATTCACATTTCAGTGAATTGCGCACCTAATGTACGTCAAACAACTGTATGAATTCCTTAAAAAAATGGCTGAGAGATAGATGTGGAAAAACTGCAACATTCAAATTCCAGAATCGTATTTGTCTCATTCTCTGACCCATATTATATAGCACCTTGAAACCTGCTTACACTTAAATATATACAGCTTACTTATTTTAATGCTAAAAACAACAGGGAAGAGGGGCAGGTGGGAGAGGGGCCGGGAACGCAATGGTGGGACGTGTTCATTTTTGGAGAATGACGCACCTGAGGAAACAGCAAGTTGGTTAGCGTCAGTCTGGTTTCCTGGCGGCTGATACCGCAATATTCAAATGAGCTCATATATAACCCCCAATAATATAATGTTCTGTAACATCCGTCTCTTCGCTGACATAACACCTGAAGACTGGTCTGAAACTGTACATAAATGCAACACAGCAGGAGCGCGTGAATAAGCAATCACCATGGTAATATCTGGTATCCCTTTTAGACGAATACAGCCAAGATATTTTTATACATCATTTATCTTAATGGTAGTTACGAGTTGCTGCGTTATTTCCGCCTAAACCCAATCTAGTTTAACATCCCCATAAACTTGCTAATACAATAAGGTCTATTAAAAGAAAAACTGTGGGAATTGGTAACATTTTAACAGGGATATTCTCAAGGGACTGACTAACAAAAGGGAAACAGCAGACAAAACGTTGACAAAAAAAAAGAAAAAAAAGAAGCCGCCTCATGTTACTGACACCATTGAGCAACCCAAACGTAAGTTTATACCCCGCCGAGGAAGTGGTTTAAAGCTGTTCAGTGTGGCCCTTATAAATCACCCCAAACACGATTCAACAAACGGATAAAGGCAATAATAAGCTTACGGTTTCAGTTTAAGAGACTGATGTCCCGCTTATCCCGGCATGTTCGGCACGTTCTTACCTCCCCGGCGGCAGCGGCACACAAGGCGTCCAGTCGTGTCTGAACCAGAAATGACCGAAAGTTACCTTTTTCCTTTGACGCCTACGTCATCTGATTCCATATTTCTGAACCAATCAGAGGCAGCGGCGGAATTTGCTCTCATGTCTCTTACGTCTGCAAGAAGAAACATACAACAGGAAGTCAGTCATGCCTTAGTCAAATGTTGATATTGAAGATGTTATTTCATGGTTGTTCTTATGAAGTCATTATTATTTATATTAATGTACCAGCGAAACGAAGATAGCCAGGTTTAATATATTTTACGTCTGTAAATCCAGACGTGATTCACAACAAGTCACAACAATATTAGAAAAAAGCTTGGCTCCCCAAATAACCCAGTATTCTACATGCAGTCTAAATAAATTTACAAATACGTTTATTACTCGCTATGAATTCTTATATTACTCATTTCCTTTCTCGCAACCTTATAGTCATACAATATACTTTAATTTTTCACTGTGAATAAAAAAAATATTTAAATGCTTGGATTAATATATGCTTTTGTGAAAGAATCTGACTCCAATTTAACATTTATGCATCTCATCGTATCAGGGGAAAAACACGCAGCAGAAAATTTTATATTAATAATTATAGAAGATAGGCCACAAATTTGGACAGGACAACGTCGCCCCCGAGTGGTTGGCAAGTACGAGTTCTTCTTTCCTTGAAGCCAGGAAGGAAATGTCTGAAAGGAACAACACCGAAGAGCATTTCCTAATCTCACATTCAAGACTCAGAGCAAAAGTAGACATTGAAATCAAATTCAGTGTCTAATATTTCCACACCAAACAACGTTTCACCTGCATTTTCTGTGTAGTCAATGTTTACAATAACACTATTTGGCGTGTTTGCACAGCTTTGAAAGCATTCAACTGTCCCTATCACGGATTTACAAAACAGATAAAGTCAAACAGAAAACTGCAGTTGAGTCTAAATAAAAGTGTTGGTATTTTTCCCCCAGTAAGGTAGCAATTAAATATTTAAAATGAATTTAAAAATGACTTAGATTCTTATGACACGTCCTTAGTGTCTATACAAAACAAAGTGTGTTTGTGTCCCGTTTAGGTCAGTTCTGCAGTGCCATCGAGTCCTAGAGAAACACGTCACAGAGATATGACTCGTATATGATGCTGAGTTTAGAAACAACTGCGACGAGCGCTTCGTGAAAAACGTGTCCCCCCCTTAGTCCAGCAACATCACAGGTAGGGGGCAGTGTTACCACTTGTGATTGAGAACATGACGAGGAGATGGGCTTCTTTTTATAACAGCAAAGCCCGGAGAGCAGCGGACCATGACCAAGCCACCAGACGACTTCCTCACCCCACCATCAGACAGAAAGTACTATCCTTTGTATAATAGATTTTATTATAAGGAATTTAAAATAATTCACACAAGGATTACATTTTGGAATATTTACAGATGGGGTGTCCAAACATTTTTGTCATGTTGGGCAAAAGTCAAAAGTAGTCGCAGGCCACAAAACAAACAAACAAATAAACAAATAAACAAACAAACAAACAAAAAAAGCTGAACTTGTTTTGGGTACTCACTTCCAGTCAAACTAGCCACCCACAATCCACCAAGGCATCATCAATATTTGATAACATCACAAAATCAGTTTTCTTCACCCTCACATTATTCACAACATTAACTCATTAAATAAAAACGAGTGAATACATTCAGGTAGATTCAGACAAACTTATTTCTATGAGAGATTACCATCGGTAGTAAACCTGCATGTATGTTTATTTTCGAACAAAGTGGTGAGCCCATTAATCTGGTGTATGTCCAAGTCCCCTCCAGCATTGTTACACCGCCCTCGCAGGCTGTCCTGTACAATAAAACGTTCGCACCTCCTAACTGTAGCCCCCACGTGTCACAGAGTCGCTGCACAAAAACATCAAGTCTGGCTGCTGCAGCTGTGTGGGCTCCAAACGCAGCACATGGTGTCGTCTACCAGCTTCTTCTGGCGACGGAAACGTATAGACACTTAACTCTGAGCTTGTTTCATCGTTTGCTTTACGACTTTTAAATTAACTTCGGCTACAATACTGACGGGTTTTGGTTTTCTTTTCTTTTTGTTTTACCGTGCGGAAAGCAGAGAGGAGGTAAAGCTGCGACTCAAACTTAGCTGCTACGTTTAAACCGAACATGTCGACTGGCACGAAACAAGTGAAGAGCTGCCCCATCCCGACCAAGGTCCTCACCCTGAAGGACTGGTCCCAGCTGCCCGACTGCTACAGCCAGACACCCGGGGGAACCCTCTTCTCTACCACGCCCGGAGGTAAAACTGTTGCGTGTTCTCATGTTGCTTTTATTTGTAGCTATTACAAAGTGGCAAATGCAGCCCCCCTTTAGAAAAATATCACTTAACTTGAATAATTTAAGTATTAATCGCGCTATTTCGGTTTTTCCTCCGTTTTTCCTATGTGCTCTCGCAATGACACAATTAATGCAAAACGGGTGGATTGAAAGCAAAACACAATTCTGACAAATGTGCACGCATGTCATAAGCAACACTGTCCTAAAATCTTTTCTCTGCACATTGACAGTTTTCTATCTCATATCTTTTTGCTAACGTCAACCAGACATTTTAATATAGTCTGTCTTCCTACTTCAAAATGTTTAATCTTAAGGTATTCTTCTCAAACGCGTTTGCTTTCCCGTATTTAAGCAATCAGATGCTTAGTGCGACTCGTTTCCTCCTGCACAGGTCCTTTTAAAACGGCTCAAAAACAATCCTCCCCGCATGAAAACAAAAGGAAGTTTCAAACTCGTGACTTGCAGAGGGTGTACATTTGCGGCTCAGATCAGAGCCATTTGATTGGCCTTTGTCTGTGGTGCAGCTGGAGGCCGTCCAATGTTTTGAGTTAGAAGTGCATAAAGAACATGCTGTACGAATTGAAAAGAAGGGGAGTAAATGTTTAATGCGCAGGGGAGCCGTTTTTGCATGGATGGCACAAGTTGTGCAAGAGATTCCACCACTGTGTTTTGACTTGCATTCCATCTCGTATTTCTTCTTCTTCTTCTTCTTCTTCTACACAGCCTTGTCATGAACTGCATGCTGAACCATCTCCTCCTCTGCTTCCCTTTGTCCAGGATGAACTGTCCAAACCCCATTACATAACATGTTTTCTCTCAGCCAGGCTGATACTTCGCAGAACAGTTCAAACTCCAGTTCAGAATAACATGAGCTGCAGACCGCTCCCAATGCCTCATGGTACAAATTTTCAAAACAGGTCTTTTATGACATAATCCATGGGTGCGTTTGAACCTGAATGTACAGCTCTCAGTCATAGGTTGTCAACATGTTTGTTTTTTGCTTTATCATTAAGCTGGAGGGTTTTGGAAAAAAAATGTCAAAGATTTGACTGCTTAGGGGGTTGAAAAAGGTAAGGGAAGCGAGCAGAAGCATGTTTTCCACACTGAACTTTTCTTTTTTGCCTCAAAGATGACATAAATCCACATCGTTGCTTGCAAAGATGCGGTGTAAGTTGACTCTTCGCCAACGTGAACTTTCACCATAAGGTCTTTATTTACGCCAAATGTCCTCTCTCTCATCGCCGCCGAACGCAGGCACCCGCATCATCTACGACAGGAAGTTCCTCCTGGACTGTCGGAACTCCCCTCTCGCCAGGACGCCGCCGTGCTGCCTGCCACAGATCCCGGGAGTGACGGTACCGGCCACACACGCGCACCACACGGGGAAACTGCAGGACCTCAAAGAGGAGGCCGAGGAGGAAGAGAAGGATATCGGAGGTAAATATTTGCCCGTTTAGCTACTGTTTTATGAATGCGTGTGTGTAAATGTGGCCGTTTTTTTTTTTTTTTTTTTTTTTGGCTCCTGAGGGGAAGCAGCTCATGAAAACAGGTTTACTGGTCTGAGCTGTTGACTTTGAAGGTAAATGCAGTGATGGTTTATCTAAAGAGACGTTGAGACACTTTCAGGTTGGACATAGTTCAGTGCTTTGAAGTTTTTCAAATGGTTAAAATGTCCCTGTCCAACTAAACTCAAAGATCAAAATTCACTTTTATTCCCCTGTCTGTCGGTAAACACAGCATACTGATAAGTTCTGCAGTGTCTCGTCTCTCTGTTGTCCGTTAGGGCGTGACCACATGGGGTGATTTATCTGATGCAACCTTTTTTTTTTTTTTTTAATGCTAATTATTTTTTTGTCCGTTTCTTTGCAGATGACAGCCAGTTTGAAATGGACATCTGAGTCAGCAGTACTACCTCCTGTGGAGTGTTGAGTTTAAATGCCTTATAAGTCGTAAAAGACTAAAGCATTGCATACAAAGCTCTTTTTTTTCACTTTTTTTTTTATTAACAACTGAGGAACCTACAATGGAAAAAGTAACCAAATGTAAGGTGTTTTTCACCTTATAAAATTGGGTGCAAATTGTTTACCTTCGGATGGATTGGTTGGTCGCTTGTTTCAAAGAAACTATGGAATCAAGTATGAAATCGGTTTTGATTTAAACTTTTTTTTTTATTATCTTTTGTAAATAAGAAACTTGTACTATGTTTTAAGTTTGAAGATTATGGTTATTTCATAAAAGCATGTATAAAAAAGGTGTTCGATACATGAATCAGTTTGCTTTTGTTGAATTCCCTCCAAAAAAGAAGGGTGGGCTATCGGTACATGCATACATCTCCCTTACATTTGGGGAAGGGGATTGGCTTTCTACTGAAAAAAAAATCAGCTCTTTGTTTTTGTATGGACACGAGTTGTGAAAAATAAATGAGTAAGCTGTCATCTTGTGTGTGTTTTCTGTTGACAAGACTGATTTTTCCCAGTTACATTAAAAACTGAAGGAATTTAATGACTTTTTACTGTCATGGTGAAGCTGAACACCAGTGTACATAACTGTGTCCTGAACTTCACTCAAACCTGTTTCTAAGGCCTTTCTTTAACACAATATCTCACTGATTCGTCACGGCCTGATTCGGAACATGGTGACTAATGCAATATTTTGGGGGTTGTTTTGTGTGAAACCCAGACGGGCTGAGTCAGTGTAACAATGTTGGTTTTACTATGAAGTAGATGCTTAAGGCCAAGTATAAATA